GCGTGTTAATAATGAGAAACACTAATGATCTGATGGTCTTTTCGAAAAATCCTTTCTTAGTGAGAACCTGGAGGCCAAGAGGAACATACGTGCCAAATTTCAAGATTGTAGGCTTCACAGTTCTGGAGATTTCCTGATGATGCGTGAGTGGCTTTATATATATAAAAAGCCACTCACACATCATATCTATATCTATATCTATCTATCTATCTATCTATCTATCTATCTATCTATCTATCTATCTATATATATATATATATATATATATATATGATGTGCTACCACTAGATGGAGATCAATCCATCTAGTGGTAGCACATGTGGAGGCTATAGGAGATAATACTTTAGTGGTTCTCAGAAGATAAGAAGTATGACTCAAAGAACTTACTAATTGGTGCTGAGGACTTTTTTCTTAGTAAGAAATATGATTCTACATACCAAAATATTACATTCTATACAGGGGTGGGTTGCTGCTGGTTTTACTACCAGTTTGCAACCCGCAGGTGCGCATGCGCAGAACAATTTACAGTGAACTGTGCACGCGCAGTCACTTAATACCAAAATGGTGGTCACTGCCAGTTCTGCGACCCAGGCCTGAATTCCACTAGCGGTTCAACAACCGGGCTGGTAGCAACCCGCCTCTGATTCTATATATTAAGAAATCACATATATATTACATACAGTATATCGTTTCAAAGAATTGACAAAAAACAAATTTGAAGGATCCTGAAAGCACATTTTCTTACTTAGGACAATCCCTGTTCTGTAAACATTGCAGTGCTCTCTTATTCGAGGCAGCACACAAACAATCCCATTAATAAATTCTAACTGCTTCCTATTTTCACCTGAGCCACCTACGGATATCAATGTCCTCCATGCTCTTTAGTATGTATCTTGCCACCTCAGAGGGCTTCCGCTTCTGATCTCGGGTCCATCTTTTCAACATAAGCTTGCGATCTCTGATCCGGGCATAAATAGGTTTTTGTTGCTGCCAGAAATCTGTGCGAGTATCCAGGTAGGAAAGACCCTCATTAAGTAAGTCTCCAACAGTTACTCCCTGCTTGGTTACACTTTTGATCAACTCTGCAAAAAAGCCAGAGGCAAAAATAGGGCGAGTTGTTATTGAGTAGATAAGTTATATACATACATACATACATACATACATACATACATACATGCATGCATGCATGCATGCATACAACCAATCCTGTTGGTGTTAACCTACTATACCTGCTTGACTCAGAGTATTCAAATGTAATTTCCTCTATAAATGCTTTCCAGACTTCTGAAAGAGAGGTTATTTACCGAAAAACTTCCAAAGGCTGATATACTGGTAGTCTTTGACTTATGACTACAATTGAGCCCAACATTTCTGTTGTGCTCAGTTCTTAACTGAGTTTTGCCCCATTTTGCAAAATTTCTTGCCACAGTTCTTAAGTGAATCATTGCAGTGGATTAGTTAGTAATATGGCTGTTAAATGTCTGGATTCCCCACTGAGTGCTTGTTAGGTTGCAGGAGGGTTATGAAGGTTGCAGTATCCCCTGGGAGACTGCAATCATCAAAAATGAACCAATTGCCAAGCATCCAAATGTTGATCATATGATCATGGGAATGCTGCAACAGTCATAAATACAGTCATAAGCCACTTTTTTCATTGCTGTTGTAACTTTGAATGGTCACTTAAATGAATTGTTGTTAAGTTAATGGACAAAAAGATCTGAGGGGGGAAATGCAGTTTTTCCCCACAAGTAATGAAGATGAAAGAAGCCTTTCAGAGAAAGAAATTTCCTTAGAAAAATATTTCAGTTACTTTTTAAATTATTCAAACAAAAAATGCTATTAAAATACAAATAACCAAAACAAAAATCCATGTAGAGACCAATTCAAAATGTTTAAAGTGATTGTTTCACAAAATCAATATTACAGGTTTACAATATGGGCTAATCTCTCTCTGGAAATAAAACTGACTTCTGTAGATATGCAAAGTTCATAGGGGTAAGTTTGGTGTGTTATTTGTGACTCTTCTTGAGTAGAGGCAACTGATCAGCCAACATGTATACCAGCCAAGAATTATGACACCAAAAGTTTAGCATATCCAGCAGCTGTCTTAGAATCTATAAAAATATGGAGGTTTTCAAATTATCTAGAACACTTCATCAGGCAAAGATGATGAATCAAGTATTGCTTATCCAATTTATTTAACATTAGTTTACAGTGATTTTACTAAGTCTGCTACCAATATTATATGTTTTACATTGGAGATGTTAAGGATTGAATATAATTAGTTGGTTCATAAATAATGCTAAATCTTAAATTAGACTCTGCAGGTTATAGGTAAAGGTTCCCCTCGCACAAATGTGTTAGTCATTCCTGACTCTAGGGGGCGGTGCTCATCTCCGTTTCAAGCCGAAGAGCCAGCACTGTCCAAAGATGTCTCTATGGTCATGTGGCTGGCATGATTAAACATTGTTACCTTCCCACCAGAGGTGGTCCCTATTTTTCTACTTGCATTTTTACATGCTTTCAAACTGCTAAGTTGGCAGAAGCTGGGACAAGTAACATGAACTCATGCCGTTACACGGCATTAGGGATTTGAACTGCCAAGCTACTGACCTTTCTGATCGACAAGCTCAGCGTGTTAGCCACTGAGCCAACTCATCCCTATTGCAGGTTATATAATGCTGGACAAAAACATTGTGTGTACTAAAAACAAATCACTTTATGGTTTAATGCATATATGAGCCCAACTTCTTCAAATAACTTGTCTTAATGTTGATATGTAGTATCAGCACACTTAACAGACAACCTTAAAATAATAGAAAAAAAACCACAGAATCAGATATACCGATATACCGTATTTTTCAGAGTATACGGAGAATAAGAAGCACCTTAGTTTCTGGGAAGGAAAATAAGAGGGGGGGATTCTGCCTACCAACTGTTCATCTGGCTAGCGTCCTTAGTGTGGTCAGCTTTAGCACATAAGTTTGCTGGTTTTGAGTGTGCGCATGCTTTTTATCCCCTGGACTATGTATTCCAAGTAAGGCCATACTGATTAACAATCACATACAATTATTACAAACAATCATTATTGAGGGCAAGTGAGAAGTCTATTTGGACAAAAAAGGAGTACACTTTCCTATCTTAACTCTATCTTAAATCATCAACCAGCATGATCAATGCTATTTCTATTCTGGAAACTTGGAGTAGTAATACTAGCGAATTATCTGCTCCACAGAAAAGTTGAAGGGCATTCTTAAATAAGAAAATTCAAAGAAGATAGCCACAATTTGCAAAAGAATGTGTTGCATTGGAGAGAAGTAGATTTTCCATTTCTTGAGAAATTGTTTTTGAAGCACAGATTCCATTTTGTTTGTCTCTACTCACTCAGGTTTAGCGATATCCAAAGGGGTGAGTATGCTGCAGTAAAAATATTGGAAGCTTTTTTTTCAGCCCTAATGAGGTGCTAACGATCTTACTTCTTCCCTGGTTTGCCTGCTTTTCTCATTGCTGCTCCCTCCAATAATCAGCTGTGCTTTAGAACCTTTTTTCAGCCCTAATGAGGCGCTAACATAGGAGAGAGCAGCAATGAGAAAAGCAGCCTCACTTCACTTGTTAGCACCTCATTAAGGCTGGAAAAAAGCTTCAAAAAAAGCTACATTGTGAATATAAGATGCACCCAAATTTCAGCTTTTTAGTGGGGAGGGGAAGTGTGTCTATACTCTGAAAAATACAGTAACAGTGCAGTACTCTGAGTAGTGCAGTAAGAAACTAATGGATCATATATTTTCTTTCCTGCTTCATTTTTGTGAAGCAGTTTCTGTGCTTCATTTATCTGCCTCCTTTTCTATTTTGAAATAAACATGGAAAATCAGGATTTTTCAGAAAATATAACTATAATCCTCTTGTGAAAATGAAATAACTATGGCTCAGATTTAGGAGAAAGGAATCAAAGTGTGTGATTGGTGTTTGAGCCCCTCTATTTGAGCCTACCACTACCAGAAAGCTCTATCAGAAGGTAATCTCACAGAGCCACATAACAGTCAAGTTCTCTCTCTTCAATAATCCTTTCCATGGGCTTGTCCACTAAGGAAATTGTATATTGTAAAGGATTCTGAAACTTGTTAAAATATGCATGCACTTCTCTAGCAAGCTTTTGCATTTGGCTACTATTCCTTCACAAACTGTATGTGCCTTAACTATGGAACAATTTTACTAGTGCACATTGCAGAAAAGATTATTAACCTAGACAAGTAATTGCTTTCCTGAAAAAGTCAATTTCACAGGGGTGGACAAACTAATAAGGTGTGTGGCTCTGAGGTTCCCAGGGCCCCGCACTGTACAAATGCATTAAATTAAAACCTTCATCCTTGAGCAGTTTTTCCAGAAAAGCCTTGTCAACATAGAGCTCTCCCAGGAGCTGCCTTTCCATCTTCTCATTCCTTACGGGGACCTGTTGTTTAGTTAAGTATTTTGAATCCTTTTTGATATGAAGTTTCTGCTTTGCTTTTTTACTCTGTCATAAGAAAAGAAAAGCACACTTTACAAGGTCATTTTTTTTAGACTTCTCCTTTTTCTGCAGCGTTATTTCTTCAGAAAAAAAACAAAAAGGAACCCTGGAAGATAGCAAAGCTATCTCTCAAACTGAACAGATCCAAGACCATAGATTAAAACAACAGCACATTTCAGATTGCGATGGAGAGAGGGTTTCTACAACTTGAGAGGTTTGGGATATTATTATTAAAAATTCAAGAATTATGTCAATCTATGCTCTCATCTAGAATGGTGATTCAGGGTATGAACTATAAACATAGAAGCCTTGTCTTACGCATTCTATGCAACTTACTATGCAACTTCCTCCAAAACAATTTAAGGGCAACAATGATACTCTTTTGTTTTAGAAGGTTTTCTCTAGATGCTTAGCTAATGTATAAGAAGCTATTTAAACTGTTGACAAGTATAAACAGAAATAGATAAACATTTGGCACTTTAAAAGTCCAATTTAAATGAAGGGAATTTAAGAATATGACTGCAACATTCACAATCTATGCAAAGTGAACAATCATTAGTGTGATTATTGTTGTGTATGATTATTATTCTCATGATCTGACATTGTTAGGTTCTACATGGTGAATTCTCTGTTTCTTCCCCATCAAAATATTGTATGAATAATGGAATATTATATATTTCTGATCAAGTATAGGCAATACAGTACAATAGACAACTGTAGTCTGTCTAGATAGTATACCCCTGGCATCATCACTAGTATCCAACACTTAGGAAATTGTTTGCCTTTAGGAGAGATCAAGTGTCTCAGGAAAAATAACTGATCAAATATCATCTTATGCAAAAACTAATAAAAAAACAAATAGTTATTTTTTTAAAATATTCATATTATAAACTATTTACAAATGGATAGGACAAAAGTAGTTTTCAGGAGAATGAAGATATTGCTACTGGTCTCACATATTATGGTTCAAGAAAAAGGTCAATAAACGGCAAAACCCGACGATTCTTATTATCTAGCCCATCCCAATGCCTTGAAACTCATTCCATTTTTTCTATTTACTCCTACAATAAGCACAAAATAATCACTTTGGAAAAAGCTGTAGGGACCTTACCTCTGCCTGGCGACTCAGAAAGCAGAGGTCCCCTCTATTCTCCAATCTCACGGATGATGGGCCTACAGACAGAGAAGGTACCAAGAGGTCAGGAAGGCCCTACAAAGCACCTATTGCAAGTAGCAGTCAATAGGACATGTAGAAGAAAGAATATCAACTTTATTAAAACACACACATATTTCAACCCTCTGGTAATTTATTTTCCTTTTATCAATGTTTTTAATTTTTTTTAAAAACATAGTTTAGATTAGAATATTACAAACTATTTCAAATGTGGATGAATCACAGTTTTGTATAATGGCATATATTTTATTTTCCCTATGTACTTTCCTCGAGATATCATTGCCTTATCTGGATGTGTAGTTACAAGCCAGTGAATAATGCAATATTGAATTACGGTTGATGATGTCCTGCTTAAAATCTACCCCCTATCATAGAAATTCAGTGGGTGACTTTGGGTCAATCACTGTCTCTCAATCACTTTATTCAAAAGATTGTTAGTTTAAAGAAAAATTGGGAGGAGGAAACATTATGTATGATCCCTTGTGTTCCTGAAAGAAAGTAAACCAATCAAACTGAAGATTGAATCAGAATCTTTTTCAGAAAGGATTTTGAAAATATTCCATTTGTTTCCTTTAGAAATATGAGAAATAATAATGAGATGGTCTGTAAAAAAAACCTTTCAATTGCAAAAGAAATTCTTCTTAAAAGCTTAATTAATACTTTATTTGATTTTGGGCTTCCTGTGGGCGGAGCCTGTCGCCGAGGAACTCAACGGAGCTCCTCTTGCAGTTCTGGTTTGTATATCTAATTAAGATCAGTAGATNCAGTAGACTTATATACCGCTTCATAGGGCTTTCAGCCCTCTCTAAGCAGTTTACAGAGAGTCAGCATATTGCCCCCAACAATCTGGGTCCTCATTACTTTGGGAGATTTATTGGATTGAGTGAGGGTGTCCCTGTATGTCCCAATGATATAATTTTGTGTTGGCTAGGATTGATGGGATAGCATTTGGAGGCTACAGGTTCCCACTAACCTGGATTCCCATCATTGACCCCTGGCACAAATCAGTTCTAACAGCTGTTAATATATCATTACTTTTCTTTAATTGACATTGCTCTCCTTGATCATTTATAATCAGGTGAAGTTAAAATAGGACAAAATGGTCAATACTATTATTGCAGAAGGCAAAAGGTCTTATCACTGTTTGATTTCCACCTACGTGTCAATGGCTTCTTGAAAGTTGCCCATACGGGCATATACCCGACCAATGTTGTCAAGAGCTCTGGAGATGGCATCAGTCAAGTTGCTGCAAAAAGGCAAAAGCAAAAGTGCTGATACTATTTCAAAAATACTCCATCAGCCATCACCAATCCTGGATATTACATCTATGCACTAATGTATAGGGCTCTATGAATGCGTACAATACTTTAAAACAGGAGTAGCAGTTTATGATTTGTAGTGAGATTGTGACCTCTGCCTCCGTTTTGCAGCCCCAATTTTCATCTCCAAAACTTAGCAGAAGAAACTTCTCAATGTTGCCTATTTTTAATGTGTTATGTGCCTATGCAAATATCCCTTATCATCTTCCAAACACAATATTTTGCTCTTGTAACTTTGCCTTGCAGACTAAAGAAAAATGCTATTAGAAAATTGTCTAGGGAACTCAAGACTTATTTAATCTTTAATATGTATTGTTTGAGATAAGTGATACTGTAGAGTCTTCTTGAATATCTCTAATTACTGCTACATTGCCTATAGATATCAAAAGGGAATATCTGTTTAATTGTCCATAAGAATATATATACCTACTAAATATTGCATTACTACACATAAAATTTTACATACAAAATTTTATTGCACCTTACTTAATACATTAGGATAATACTTTGTTTTTTATATTGATAAATTTGTAGGCTTACAGGTAGTCCTCGATCTACAAACATAATGGAGCCTGATTATTAGTCACAAGTGGTGACAACCAATAAGTGAGACAGCCTCACTTAATGGCTCCCAGCCCGTTCTCCCAGTGCCAGTTACTCAAGTACATGGGTCCTTAAGCGAGCATGGGATACTTCATGGGTGAGAGAAGTCCTGGGAAGCCTGCCACCTTATTGAATTCAGAGGTAGACGAGCAACAAATGGCTTTACAAAGCAGAAACATCCCAATCGGGGAACAGCCCGGTTAGATTAATGCTAGTGCCATATTCCAATACCAGAGAGGCTTCCAAACAAGCCTCTGTGGAAAAGGATCTCTGCCCCCTCAGCTGGACATTGGGAGGAGCAACATTTCCTTTGCTTAACCCCTTCTCTCCTCCAGAAACCCACATTTCAATGAAGAAACAAACAAACAAAAAAACCTGGGAGGACATACTTGTTGATAGTTCCCTCCTATCCCAAGGTGCTGAAAGTAAACTCCACCTCTGCCCTCCAATCTCGATCCCATTTGCTAAATTTACTGTCGGTCTGGCAAGTTGATGACAAAAACTCTTAAGTTCTTACTTTGACAAGTGACTTGCCAGGCTGAGGAGCAGAGGAAAGGAAGGATGGATGCAAGAAAAAAAAACTTTCTGCAACTTGTTTTTGTGTGGAAGAGCTGGGGGAAAAAATCTAGCTCAAAAGAAAAAGCAGCTACAGCACAAAGGCGCAACAAATGACCACAGCAGAAGTTGGGTCCTAAAAGCTGTCCTACAGGCAACACTTAAGCAAGGGGAAAACTTGGGGAAGCTCATCCTGCAGCTGGCACCTTTGTATACAGGCGGCTGGCTTTCCCAAAGCTCAGCAAGAGCCAGGAAAGGTTTGCAATCTCTCAACAGCCAGCTGAGCGGAGTAGAAAGCTTGGAAAGTAGCTGCCATTTCTGCAAGAAATTGTTGAGGCACTGAAAATGGCAGCTGCTTCCAGGAGGTATGGGGAGCAGCGCTGCAGGATCCAGTCAGGACAGGATCGGGGGGGGGGGAGGCTTCGTCTTCCCAGGCCCCCAAGCGGACCCAGACTGCCCCACTTGGGCCTCTGGGCGGGGGGGGGGGAGGGAAAAGTGAAAAGTAGGATCCTTGTGGTTGGTCATAAGTATGAATGACCGCAGGGTCATTGCAGCCACCATAAGTTTGAAACAGACTCATATAAAGGTTCTGCCGTAACTTTGAGTAGCCATCAAGTGACTGAATGTATCCCGAGGATTACCTGTATAGGTTTAGTTGGATTTTTTTATAGATTTAATATTTGTAACTTTACATTGTATTTAGTTCCCCTTATTAATTTTATATGGTGAATGTATTGCATTTTATGTATTTTTTTCATACTATCATGCTCACTGATCAAAAGAGCTTTTCTCTCAAAGATGGGTATCTTTTCTGCTTCTGCCAAAGTTGCCTATCTCTGCTTCAAACAGGGCAAAGCAGCAGATGAGACTTGGAACATTATGCTGCTGTTTAAAGTATTATAAGAACAAATTATATCAACAACTGATTTAAAAAGAAGACTAAAGAAAACAATTACATGATATGGATTTTTTAAATTTTTGTTCAAAATATCTTTATACAAAAATATTTTTCTTATATATTTAAGAGAGCAAGGGTAGCAATTTAACTTTTTTAATGGCTAATGCTGAATATTTTTAATTATTGGAGAGTGAAATCACAGCAGAAATAATTTAATTCAGTAAAAATTAATTCAGTAAAATTATTATCTTGAAACTGTAGATTTATCATAAATCTTGGAATTTGTGTCCCTGAATCATAAAATGTCATTAAAGGGCCTCAGCAATTGAGAGTGGGTAGTACAGTGGAAAACTCCAGTTATTTTTATCTTTCTTAACCACTCCACCTCAAATAACTCTGCACTCAAGATAGTAGAGATATTGTAGGGAAGTTAGGCAGGACAGACTTGTCTAACAATGGAAATTTTCCTCCAAGGAGCTCAGAAAAAGTGCATACATTGATATGTTAATCACACATGGATTTCTAATAGTTAACAAGCTAACATATCCCTTGGGTAATTTTGCTTTTTTACTTTACTTTTTTTACTTTTGCCTTTATTTGTATGCCGCCCTTTTCCCTANAAAATTGAAAATGAAAATGAATAAAACATTTACAATAAATACTTTATTTGATTTTGAAAAGAACAAAATGCATTCTTTGATTTATTTACTTTTTTCAGAAGTGAAGACCATGTATTATATACAATCCTCACACAGCACAATATTTGACTGGTTTTTCCCCCCATATGTTTTCTATCACATTCAAATCTGACAGATAAAATAAAATAAACATATCAAGGAAAATTATATTACTTACTTCCAACTGAATTTTCAATTGCTTCTTTGGATTTCTGAATACCCAGTCTGAATTTCTGCAAATCAGGGCGGAGCTTGTGCCCTCGATGATAAAATACCAAAGCAAATTCAAAATCTCCCATGGTATACAAAGCTTCTGCTTTTTGATACAGTCCCTGTAACAGAAAGGAAAACTATTGGAATGAAAAAAGAACAATTGGAAGAAATATATATTGTACACGCAAGTGAACAGCAAGTTCAACATCCAACAATTATCCCAACATCCAATAATTTGTCAGATGTGACCAACTGAAATTTGATTACAATCCAAGAATATTTTCTCTTCTCCATTGCCAGCTTTATACTATTTTATTTAATTAGTTCTTTTTAAGAGACTATCTTCCAGTTTATCCCTTTACACTTCTAATTTGCATTGCTTTCATTATGATTTTCTAACCTGTAATTTTTTTTTCAGAATTGGGTAGGGGGGACATAACTTCCTTCTAGCAACAAACTAGATAACCAATGAGAAATTTCCTAGATTTGGAACAGATATCTTTGCTTACCTTAGTAAATTCTTTGTCAGCAGTCAGAGAGGCTTCTGCATCTTTTAGGGCATTTTGTGTATCTCCAAGTCTCAAGTAGCATTTTGAACGGGCAACAAGGCAGTTTCTGTCGCCAGGTTGAAGCTGTAAGGCCTAATCCATAAAAATATTTTTTTTCAATCTCGCTCATATTATCACTGCTACAAGCTGAGCATTTCATACCCATTATTTCTCTGGTGAAATTGGGGATATATTTTTCTTATGTGTAAATTGTATTATAAAATTTATAAGGTGCATTCTGTTATTATATGTTGCTAAACTCTGGATGTTGTGATCATATTCTCTGCAGCATCTCTACTCTCTGTCTTAAGTATCATATTCTTGATGTAAGTGCCACAAAAAAATAATTTCTGGCCAACTTTTTCTTCTTCCGTCCTTTTCTTCCATTTGTGTTTACAGACAGAAGCTCTAATAATAATAAAGGAATATGCTGCAACATGCATGTTAACTGATGAGAAAGTTTCATCTCAAAGATAGGAGAGAGCACAGAGCCAAATGGAAAATAAAACAGGAAATTTGCCTTGTTGCTATTGTTACCAGCTTTGAAAACCTGTAGGACCCTAGAGGTGGAAAAACGTCTCTACACTGCCTCCTCTATTTGGATAGCATATCTAAACAGCAAATATCTGGACAATCATTAAATCTTGGGGGGCAGATTTCCCAGGGGGTTAAATTGGCACCAACCAAGAAGAGAAGCAACCTAGAATGAAGGAGAAATTAGGACAATTAACCAGCTAGCCTCCATAAGTCATGGGTGCTCCATCACTGGAGGTTTCCAAGAAGAGACTGGGCAGCCGTTTGTCTGAGATGGTACAGGGTCTCCTGCCTGAGCAGGGGGCTGGACTAGAAGATCTCCAAGGTCCCTTCCAGCTCTGTTATTCTGTTAATTAATTAAAGGCAGGCAGGAAATTCTAACTTTTTGCTGCTCCTCTAATTACTGGAGCTTAGAAACAGTAGCCTTACAACTACAAAGCCCCACTACTGTAGCATTCCCCAGTCAATTCTCACTGCACGGAACTTTACCCATCACATCTGGGTGACCCAGGGGCAAGTCCCCAGCTTGCCGTGCAGCTTCTCATAACCTGTCTCTGTGCAGCTTTGCTGTCGGGAGGAGATCAAACAAGGCTCTTGCAACTGCCCTTCGTGGGATTCCCGCTCCAGTATTAAACCCTCCCCAGCTCTCGGCTCTCTGATGCCTGCCTGCCTGCCTGTCTGGGAGGCAGGCTCATTTCTCCCCGTCCATCTAGCGGACTTCTCCGAATATCTGCACGGAGAATGCTCACGTAAGTGTAGTAGGACAGAGCTTTGGTGAGCTCCCCGCGTCGGCTAAGCATGGTTCCTTCAGCCAAGAGGCTGGGGAAAGTCCCCCGCAAAACTTCCCCCTCGTTGTCCCCCATCTTGGAAGAAGGCAAAGCGCCGAGAAGGACGCGACGCAGTTGCCGCGCAACTTGCAGCCTAGCAACGGCAACACTTCCGGTAATCCGACGGGAAGCCGGATGGATCAAAGGGTTTTTAAACTTTGGAAGAAGCCATTCAGAGGTCTTCAAACTTGGTAACTTTAAGACTTGTGGACTTCAACTCCCAGAATTCTCCAGCCAGCTCTGCTATATAGTATTGGGATTGTCATTTAAAATTCCGGATGATCACTAGATGGCTTGTTGTATAAATATTTTGCACTCCAAATATAGTAACCCTGTTTTATATGGCTCTCCTTTTGCAGAACTATTAATCTAAGCTTAACTGACTCTGCCCAATTTTGTTTATTCTTTGGCTGTCACCCATCCATTTCTTATATTAAAAATCACATCTCTGAACTGAGACTTCATTTAAGGCCGTCTTCATAATTTAGCTAAGGTAAAAAGTAAAGTCTCCTTCAAGTCAAGCTCATCTGGTAAGGATTACATGGACACATCCTTGAAAATGCCCCTGGCGGTACTGACATCTGGTAACACAACATCTGCAAACAAACAAACAAGTTCAGGGAGCACCAAGCACACCACAATTTTTCTGTTTTCAGATGGAGAGATGTACAAAGTGGTCTCATCATAAAAGGTTCAGTAGATTTTTTTTTAAAGTATACTAGGCAGATGATAGTTGCTTCCCATTTTTAACAAGGTAAGTTCTAAACAAATTTGTTTCATTTCTTGACAGATCCATAGATCCCTTGGTAGAAAACAGAGACAATAGACTAATCGAAATAGAAGAAATAGTATTCCAGTTTCTCAGCAAATTGGATATTTGGTAGGTTGTTGCAGAATCAATTGACTTCAGACTCTTTTATCATCAGGCTACATCAGCCTTTCAGGGGTACTGCTGATTAATTGCCATAATTTTCCTGGTGTCATGGTCAAATAGGAAGGGTAGTTAACACCTCAGAACAGTAAAAATAAAAATGGGTGAAGTAGAATAATAAACAAGGCCAAAACTAACAGAATGAAATTGTGAAGTGGAGAAGGTAAAATTCTTATCCCCTGCCCTGTCTTTGAAAACCCCAGCATGAGGGATGCACACTTTGGAAAGGGGGAAAAAAGTAAGACTTGCATGAAATCTCAAAAGAGAACATGGTTTTTAAAAAGTGAATGCAATTTTTGATTGCATAAATAAAGTCACCATTTTCTGGTCATGGGAAAGAAGCATTTGAGAAAAAATGTTTGGCATTAAACAGGGCCTGCCAGAATATCTACCTTGGGTAATTGTACTACAAGAGGCCAGCAAACCAATTAGAATGGATTTCATGTTAGGCAACAAAATGGCAAGTAGAATGGGAAAAAAGTACTTTGCTAAAACAGTAAAGGAATCAAATATCTTAAATTAGAGAGGAAAAGACTAGAAGGTGATAGGATGGCCCTTTTTAAATATCTCAGCCTCTAGCTTTTTAAAATTCTTTTTCCTAATTTTAACTCAGTTTTATTATTCTACCTACTTTCTTGATTTTATGTCCACAATATATTTTATTGTGGTGAGTACACTGTTTTACTTTGTAAAATGTAAACCTGCTTCATTTAGAGAATGTGTTTAATTGTATTTGAAAATGTAAATAATAAATATAAATAATGTTTCAGTATTTCTTCACAATCAGAGAAATTAAATAAAATAATGGAAAAAACTTATATTCCAATCACCTACCCCTACAAAAAGCAATAATCTTTCTTTTGGTAGAATTCATCATATAAATAAATCCTCATTTACTGGGATTGCTCTGGTTCTGCATTCCTGTTTCAAGTAGGGGGATGGCCTGAATGGCAGAACATGGTCAGAGGGTCAAATGAGAAGGGTCTAGCTTTTTCCCATGAATTAGAGATGATTACCTGACTTGGAGAAAGGCTTTCATTATGGTGATGTCAATTCACCGAAAGTTTTCTCTCTCAGTTTAGGGAAGCACCACTCTTCATCAGAATTTCCATATGTGGATGTTGCACATGGATGTGTGTGTGTGACTGGCTATGTACACGCACACACACACACACTATGTATATAAATTTAAGTATTGAACAAAATATGATTGTGTACTACTATTACATGAAATTTATTGTTTTTATATTGGTATGTATCAGTGTGTGAAATTAGGCATTTTATAAATTGCTTAGGAAATCTATAGAATTGCAAAAATGGGACATCAAAGTATGAAATGCTTAATATTTCACAAATTTCCTAGACATTCTATGGAATGCCAAAAAGCAAACTGGCAAAGTATAAAATACTTCTACTAAAATGCTATTCCTTATCGCAAAAAGTAGGTCAATACTGGTCTTTCCCCCCCTTTTTTTTTTCAATAGGAAAGTCCTGTACTTTCTTTGCATTTCTTCTTTCATTTTCATATAGATCTTTTCAATAAAGAGTTAGGGTTAGAGTTAGGATTAGAGTTAGGATTAACTTTAACTTTAACTGTAACCTTAAATTTAACCTAACTTTAACGTTAATCCTGACCCTAACCCTTTTCATGACTTTCCTTACATACTTTGCCTAAATAGTTCTTGTCATTTTGCATAATTTGTTGTTAGTTGCAAAGTTGTGTCCAACCCATCGCGACCCCATGGACAACGTTCCTCCAGGCCTTCCTGTCCTCTACCATCCTCTGGAGTCCATTTAAACTCACACTGATTGCTTCGGTGACTCCATCCAGCCACCTCATTCTCTGTCGTCCCCTTCTTCTTTTGCCCTTCTTCTTTCCCAGCATTGGGCTCTTCTCTAGTTAATTAGAGTTAATTCCTTCTCAATTAGGTAGCCAAAGTATTTAAGTTTCATCTTGAGGATCTGGCCTTCTAAAGAGCAGTCAGGGTTGATCTCCTCTGGGACTGACCAGTTTGATCGCCTTGCAGTCCAAGGGACTCACAGGAGCCTTCTCCAGCACCATAGTTCAAAGGCCTCAATTCTTTGGCACTTGGCCTTTCTTATTGTCCAACTTCCACAGCTATACATTGCAACTAGGAAAACCATAGCCTTGATTATACACACTTTTGTTGACAAGGTGATATCTCTGCTTTTTGGTATGCTGTCTAGATTTGCCATAGCTTTCCTCCCCAGGAGCAAGTGTCTTTTAATTTCTTGGCTGCAGTCCCCATCTGGGGTGATCTTGGAGCCCAGGAAAATAAAATCTGCCACTACCTCCATTTCTTCCCCATTTGTTTGCCAGGAATTGAGTGGGCTGGATGCCATGATCTTAGTTTTCTTAATGTTGAGTTTCAAGTCTCTCCTCCTTCACCTGCATCAAGAGGCTCTTTGGTTCCTCTTCACTTTTTTTTGCATACGGTAATACCTAGGCATTATATACAATTCCTATGGAAAGTATATAGCATATTAAAATTACCCAGACATTTAATACTTTGCCTAAAAACTTTATGCATTCTCTGGCATTCCCAGGCATGCTATACAATGCTAGCTTTTCACACATTGCTAGTAACATATACAATACTTCAATATATCTTTCAAGGTGGAAAATGGGTAGCAAAAAAACAAATTAAATAATGTAGGTCTCCGCAGTTTGATTCTTGAGCTGCTTTTGCAGTTCTAGCTAGAGAGAAGTATTGTGGCTTTGAGAAATAGAAAAATAGGGCAAGTAGGTGGTGATTGCATGTTACTGTGTTGCAATCAAATCTCACCTGAGCAATGTAATGTATGTTCATATATCAAGTTTGCCTACTGTGTAGTCATTAAAGTAACTTCTGGAAATTTTAGTTAAGGATCTAATGGCATATATCAACTATTAATATTAATTGGTGTGTAGTTCAAATATGTGTACACATATTTTTAGAATTGGATGTTTAGGAAATATCTATTTTATTGTAGTCCCAAATTAAAAATAAATATACATTTCTTCTACTAGTACACCAAATAATTTTCATATATTAGATAACGCTACAATATCTAATTGGATAATGAAATGCCTGAAGCAAGCAACCAAACTCAGAAAGCAATAAGAACGCCTGTTTCTATTATGGAAAAAAACTAAAGTAAATTATGATAATTTTCTTCTTACAAACTTCCAAGAGGTATCCTGTTGACCACCATGCACTACAGAACATTGAATTAAATAAATCTTGGCTTGAACCAGAGGTGATATTCAGCAAGTTCTGAGCAGTTCTGGAGAACTGGTAGTGGAAATTTTGAGTAGTTCGGTGAATCAGTAAATACCACCTCTGACTGGCCCTGCCCCCATCGATTCTCTGCCTCCCAAGTCCCAGCTGATTGGGAGGAAATGAGGATTTCCACCTGGAGTGGGGAGGGAATGGAGATTTTACAGTATCCTTCCCCTGCCATGCCCACCAAGCCACGCCCAAGCCACACCCACAGAACCAGTAGTAAAATAATTTGAATCCCACCACTGGTTTGAACTAGCAATGCTTTCATACACATATGTTTTATCAAGGCTGCATTACTAACCAGGAAGTGAACCCCTAATCTGGTCTACTATCTAAATAACCATACATAGGATTCTGTTGTATTATGGTTAGTTAGCATAGCACGTGAGTATAGCACCCCTGCCCTCTGAAATAGGTTTCTACTCTCCTGGACTTGTCTACTCTCCTTAAAACCTGGTTTTGTTCCCAGGCCCAGAGTTACTGTGTCTGTTGTGTTTTTATTGTTACAGCCCAGACCAGAACGCAAGCATATATTTTGCTGTCATGTCATTATAATTGTGTATTTTGATGGTAAAAGCTGCCCAGAGCCTTGGAGTGGACAACCATAATAAATATTAATAAAAATGATATACTCAGAGCTACCGCTGAAATTAAGGGAAAAGCCAGAGGTATCCAAGAAGTCCTAAATTTGCTTTTTAAAAGTATTGTGTGTGCTTGACTTTGGCCTTGCCTCACTTTCTTCTTAAAACTAGTGATTATGCTTATCAGATGGGTAGGAGTCATTTTTAAATCTGAAATAATTAACTAAATTAAATTTGATGAAATATTTGTGCTACCTCTTTTGAAATACTCTTATGA